TCAAGGAACAATTTGTAAGAGTGCAGTAAATGACATGTGAGACCAGGGACTTGATTGGAATAACAGAAAACTACAAGTACTCTTTATAAAAATGGTTTTAAACATGTGGGAGGACCTCGAGTACTAATTCAAGAATGCCAGAGGGCCTAATTGCATAACAGCCAGAAACTGACCAATGGACCCCCTGTATTTAAAATCTGGGAAATGCAAAGAAAATAACTAAAAGATTTATTGTTCAACTGAAAAATGGAATATATTGTAAAATCCATATAAAATTCATTTTATCTCCATTTGAGGTGAACCGAATTTCAGTAGATTCTTCAAATGATGCTCTTTAATGTGGTAGGATAAAACTAGGCACTTTCAGTAAAGAATATACCGCTAAATATTTGTGCAATAAAATAATTACTAAAATGCAACTACAAATTATAAAATTCATAGAAAATGCTCTCTAGCTCCAAATGGACTGAAATAAAATTTGTTGGACCCAACTTTAATTCTAATAACTACTCCCTCTATCCCATAATATAATAAGTTTTAGAGTTAGACACGGTTGTTAAGAAAGTAGGTAGAAGTGAATGGTGGAGGGTTGTGATTGGATGAGTAGTGAAGATATGTAGAAAAAATGAATGGTGGAGGGTTGTGATTGGTTTTTGTTGTATTATGTTGCTTTAGTTATTTTGCAAGTGATGTATTTATTTTAGGTTGAGTGCTATGGGATTCGTTGCTTCTTCATGACGGTTGTATTAGGGGCATATCCCTAATCGGTTTACTTGTGGGAAATGGGTAGACAAGCTTCCACCGAACTCTGAATATTTGGCTTTTTAGCCTATGTATCTCTAGTTAAGTTATAATATGAATTTAGTTATTTATCCTATTGTTATATAAAATTGCTTTTGGTGAAAGTGTCAGACTAGCCCTTATCCTAAGACCTAGTTGAGTATGAGTACGAGTTTTGAGCAATTGAGATGATCGTGGAATATAGCATTATTATGGTCACTGTCTCCTGAGATATTATGTAACACATTTGGTCACTGTCTTCGAGTGTTTTGATGAGTATTTTTAGGTTGAATTTGACTAGCAAGCTATCCGATCGAATATCTCCCTTGCTCATTACTCAACGCTTTGGGTTTTATATTATGTTTGGTATTTCACATGCCAGATCAGCGATGAGGTTGGATAGTTATAGTTTATTTTGGTTTTATTTGAGACATCATCCAACTAAATAGTCTGTGTTGTCATGCTTAATAGCCTACATAATATATAGCCTGGTTGTCTTGATATCCCTCCTCGTGGTCATACCATGATACATTTGACTTCTCTGCAGTGCTCATCTCACGAAGTTGAGGGTGGGACGAATGAGGAAGATGCAGAGTGGAAGGAGTCGAAAACTGCGAGTGGTGGGAGGAGGAGGCGGTGGGAAGAGGGGGACTAGGAAGGCAAAGAGAGCGATAGACAGAGAGTGCAGATAGTGAGGCCTAGAATCAATTTCCCCCACACGGCTTAGCTCAATTTTCTATGACAGTTCATCATAAAACAAACACTAATAGTGGTTTTTCTGTGCCTATTTGTTGTGCAGTCATTAGTGTCGGTTTTTCCCTGCCCGGGGTGTGCACATGTTCCGGGTGGCAAAAAAACCCTCTATCATTGCTTGTTAACCAGCTGTGAATATATGTTGCACATCTGAGCGTGTTATATAGAAGTGTATCTTCAGCATTCAAAATATGTTTCAGAATATAGTTACTCCACTTTTTAACTTCTCTCTAATCTCAATTTAACATAGTCACATCTAATTTAATTTATCCACCTACTTAATTATCTCAACCAATCACAACCTTCCTCATGTAATTTCATTCCATTCCTTAAGCCTTCTAAGAATGCAAAGAGGGAGCAGTGTATAGGTACTATAATGAAAACAACATACCCAATGCATGATGTTTATTAATCGATCCTACATAATTATTCCTTTCATCGATCCTACATAATTATTCCTTTCATCGATCCTCTCACTTTCTCTCTCTTCTCATAATGCAATTAGTCATCATCTATTAGATCATATGAGTGGCGTAGCCAGATATATTTCCTTGGGTAGTCCTAGTTCACAGGTCCACATCACATACTAAATTTTTTTAACACCGTAAACATGATATATATAAGTGAAAACTTAGTGAAAATATAATAAATATGTAATAATATTGTCTTATAACATGAATAAGTGGCTTACTTAACAAGCTATACAACAGCACATTCACTAATTAATATCAACACATTGTATATTCAGTTATTTACTTATTCACATATTCATTAATCACAAATCTATTTTTGAAGCCATTATCTACAGAGGCACAGAACTGCTGCGCTAATCAACTAGAGGAAGAGAAGCAGAGGCATCTGTTCATTACCTTAAAATACCTGCAGGTGAAGGCCATTGCGTTCCACTGGAATCGAAGCGAAGGCTGCGAGGCTAGGGGCCAGCAACCGAGGTGACGAGCGCCGGAGCAGGAGCAGGAGCGGGGGGCCGGCCGGGAGCACCAGAGTGGGAGCGGGAGGTTAGTCGCTTGGCAGGCCGAGAGCGCCGGAGCAGAGACAGCGGCGGAACCCGCATCCTGTCGTGCGGCGCCATGAGGACGGGCGCGGCCGCGCAGGCCACGCGGCGCAGCGCAGATGGCAAGCGGCTGACTCACGGCAGCACGGCGCACAAGCGGCGGTGGCGTGGTGCGGCGCACAGCGTCACCTCGTCGGCGACTCGGCGACGGCGCGTGGGGCGAAGCCGAAGGAAGGGAAATAGGGAGTAGGCTGTCAAAAAAGCTAGAGGCTCGCGAGCAGCTCGAGCTTGGCTCGTCCTAGGCTCGATTCGAGCTCGGCTCGATCTTCAAACGAGCCGAACCCGAGCCTGAACAAAAGCTCGCGAGCTTTACCGAGCCGAGCTCGAGCTTTTGCCAAGCCTGGCCGAGCTTGACTATTTATAGTTCATATTGCATGTTCACCTTATTAATATAATAAACTAATAGGGACTACTGTATTCTTTCCGATGAGTTCGCAACTTATATCTCTTATTTTTCACGTGCACGTTTTTCAAACTGCTAAACGATACGCGTTTTGTAAAATATTTATATAGGAAAAATTGCTTTAAAAATTATATTAATTCATTTTTCATGTTTTTTACAGCTAATACTTAATTAATCGTACGTTAATTTATCGCTCCGTTTTACGTGCGGAGGGGAAGGCTTCCAAACCCCTCCAAACACAGCTAGGTGGTATTTAGAACTCATGTAGGTGAATATGAAGATGAAGATTAAATGTTTTACGTAAAACAATGTGGTATTAATGTACGATAAATTGAGTTTTAATTATTACAAATTTGCAAAATATATTTATCTAATATTTTAGAGCAACTTCCATATAGAAAGTTTCTTATTAACAAACCGCTTAGCGGAATGAAAAGCGTGTCACGAATATCAAAATTTTCATCCAACTTAGGCCACGTTCGTTTCTCCAATAAAAGTTTCGTTTCTCCAACAAAAGTTGGATGAAAATTTTAATATTTGTGACACGCTTTCCAAACTGATAGCCTTCGTTCTTTTGAGCTTACGGGCTTACTTTTTTAGCGATATATGAAATTGGGTGACTTTACTATATTAGTTAAGCATTAACTACTGCAAACTTAAACTATAAGTATTTGAATATTTTAGAAAAGCTTTATGTACATATATCATTCACGGTTTGTTTCAGCTTAGAATTATTATGATCTGGATTATTAGTAATAATCTGAAACAAACAGATAGATTATTGTGATAGATTATTACTCTCACTGTCCCAAAATATAGCAACTTAGGATGGGATCATGTCCAGATTCGTTGTCCTAGGATGGGTCTCATCTCATTCTATTCTAGGTTGCTATATTTTAAGACAGATGGAGTATAATCTATAAGCTAGATTAGTATAATCTGATAATCTCCTCTAAACATGCTTTTTTTCATAATATTGGGTGGCTAAAGATTCACTATCCTTATTCTACCATGATCTAGAGAAACAAACAACTCATAGTTTATTCTACTATAGCTTATTATAATCCAGCTTATAGTAATTTGGCTCAATAATCTGTATTAGAGGCTCAGAACTGAGGACGATGTAATATGCTCATCGTGTAAGGGACAATATGACACCTAATATGCTCGTGCGGATGATAGCGAATTAAGGAAGAGAGCCACGAAGAGATTGCTTTGGGTACAAATACGAGAAAACATAGACGAGGTGAAATTAAATGTCGTATTACCATTTACGTATCTAAGTTTTTATTGTATTAATTAGTGTGGAGATTAATTCGTGTAACTTATTTGGTTAGTTTTTTTTCCGAGCGATGTTCCGGTTCTCTCTATTAATAGTCCTGTACTATCAATATTATTAGGGGTAAATTATTAATTTACTAATATAATAATTAGTAATTACTTTGTCATTTATATTTTTTTCCCAGCTAAATCGATCTATGATCATCCATTATGTTGGCATCGCTCATATTTCATCGAAAAAGAAAACAAAAGTATAGTCACTACTAAATAACGATTATACTATTTTTTTCTGATAATAATGCCCCTCCACATTAACTGGGGTGGTAGTATAAGTAGATCTAAACCCTTTGGTCACTATTAAATAATGGTTTGTGTTGTTCTACTACCAGTAAAGATCACCGTATTGAGCCTCTTTCTTTTCATGAAACCAATTCATATGGGTTTAAGTTCTATACTTGATTCATATGCTCTCATTCATGACTAATTATTTTTTTAATGGTATACAACGTATATGTCACTAGCGAGATGATCGCGGTGACTTTTAGTCACCGTAGGTTGAGTATACGTACATTTTGAGGGTCTGTTTCCCAAAAATTAGTGTGGAGACCTGCAACTTGCAAGCTGCGTCAACCATTGTACATGCATCACTGGAACTGGTCTAGCCTGTCATCAGTCTGGTGAAATGTCAGCTTCGCAGTCCTGTTTCTATTTCCCAGTTAACTTCCTTGGGCCTACTGGATCGCAGCGAAGAAATGGTCCTGCAAGAAAACTGAGTCGCGCTTACCAATCCATGGCTTCAGGCTTGTATTTGGAGGTGAAGTCGAGTTGCAACTTCCTACGAGACACCTCCTAGATCGCTCTGGAGTCTGGAGTCTGGACCGAGGGCCACAACTACTCTCATAAATCATCAGATTTCATATATAGTTTCTTCATCATCCAGTTCAGCCCCCAAGGTATATACACTAATTCATCCGAATTATACGATTTATTGCTGCTCCTCTCTCTTCTCTCTTCCCGCTGTGTTCATGCAAGATTAATCGGTTCCTCGTACTGCTAAAACGCTACTTTCTCCGTTTCGCATTACTCATATTTATATATATGTTAATAAATCTAGACATATATGCGTGTTTGGATTTATTAATATTTATATGAATGTGGATAATGCTAGAAAGTCTTATAACGTAAAACGGAGGGAGTAGCTACTAAAAGCCTACTAGTTCCTGGACAGGATTGACAAGGTTGCAGCTTATTAAGGTGCCCAGCCGATCGATCGCCTAGTTTGGCTGCGTACGCTGCGAGTCCTGAGAAGAGGCCGGGTTTAGAATATTCGAGCCGATATAGCGTTAAAAAGTTTAGTGGTACTGCAGTCTAAGGAGATCTTAGGATTGCAGCCAATTCTTGTCTTACCAATTATTTGGTAGTTTTGAATAGTACTTGTTAAACCTTACCAATTACTTGCTCTATCCCTAAATATTTAACGCCATTGACTTTTTTAAACATGTTTGACCATTCGTCTTATTCAAAAATTTAAGCAATTATTAATCTTTTCCTACCATTTGATTCATTGTTAAATATAGTTTTATATATACATATAGTTTTACATATTTCGCAAAAGTTTTTAAATAAGACGAACGGTCAAACATGTTTAAAAAAATCAACAGCGTCAAACATTTAAGGAAGGAGGTAGTATTTGCTAATTTTGAATAGTACTTGTTAGTTATTTGGATTGAGATCAAATCTTAGCAATTCAATAGGGTTAGAAACAATAAAACCGTACCAAAATTTTTGTAGTGGCAAATAATAATGAGTACCCCGTTTAATATTATAAGTCATTTAAGTTTTTTTTAGTACTATTTTCAACATAAAACAAATATATCATTAAACTATATCCAAGGTTAGATTTAATGGAACTAATTTCATATTTTAGATGTTAATTTTTTCGATAAACTCGGTTAAAGTTTGACAAAAAAAAAAGTAAAACGACTTATAATATAAAACGGAGGTATTATAAACGGAGGGAGTACTTGGTAGCTAGTACTTGTACGGCCCAAATGAATGAATTACATATTAGAGAGTTGATATGTTTTAAAAACATTCTCTAACAAAATGCTGATAAATATTTTTTTATATTTCTTTTTTGGGAAAAATAACGTGTACAGCATGCTTTGAGTTGGAGAACTTTGACCGAAATAAGACTCTTAAAGTTCGTAGTCACTAACTTTGGCAACCACACTACATGAATCAAAGATGCCAATGAATTTTTCTGAGGTTGACCTAGGATACTCGAGATTGCAAGATTTTTGTTGGGATATGTGTAGGCTACAATAGCATAAATCAAAATTTTCTATCGCGTAAACCAGGAACCAGGCAAGTATTAGATCATAGATCGTTACCACTCGATGCGCTGCGCAGCGGAAGAAGACGCTGAGAAGTCGAAGGAACTCTCGCGAAGTAGCGCGCGTCGATGTAGAGGAAGTAGTCGATCACACCGGCTCGACCTTCTCCTCCTCATGCGTTCTTCTCGCCGTACTCCTACGCCGATCAGCACCGCAAACCAGCGGCGCCTCTACCGGTATCCACACGTACAGGGACGGAACGCCACGCGTAGATGTGCTAGCACCCGTACGCGGCTAGGGTTTTGCTCGGGAAGGGAGTGGCGGCTAGGGTTTCTCACGTGATGCGATGCCTCCGCCGGTCACACCCCTCACGAATATATAGGATCCATCACTCGAGCCTCCAAGGCCCGTAGGACTCCTATTCGGATCCCTATCCGAATTAAGCTCATATTGGATCTCCATCCAATCCCCTTATTCTGACCCATTAAGCGTGCGACCCTGTAGGTTCATGTACACTCGGTTGTAATCTGAAAACTCCTTTTCGGTCCATGCATCAACAGCGGCCCCTAGCAGAATGTATTGACCCATCGGGCATACATAAAGATCATATCGGCTGAACCTCTAGTGTATACTTGTATGAACCCATTTGCCTCACGATATCGATTAAGCTTAAGGCTAGATATGTGCCATCCTCTAATAGCTCAATCATTCACTTGAACCTGTGATAGATTATATAACTTGTGATTGATTCCTCAATCACCTTTGGCATGGCCATGCACTTCCATAATCTACAACATCGAGGGGCCCAGAGATATCTCTCCATAGGAGGGGCAAATCCCATCTTGATTATCCATATCCCACTACATGTTTCATAGCATACCCGAAAACTATTTTTATAACTACCCAATTACGGAGTAGCGTTTAGCAGTCCCTAAGTAAGCTACTACACATGTTGGAAATCATGATAATCTCAGGTCTAAGGATTCAACACCAACATTAAATGAAATCACTGATGACACAACACATATGGCTCTTGCAGTGTCTCATGTTGGGTCTATCCAACAACATGTTCCCCAATATGTGTCCACATTATTAATTTGGTATCTCTATACCATGATCCATGAGATATGATCATCAATTAATACATGTGCTGATTATCTAAACATATTTGTTCCACATATGATATTTGATCAGGGATCCTTTAGAAATAGTAACAAACAAAATAAAGAGTCTCGTGAAAAAATCACATATTCATTAACCAATAATGAGTTATCTATTCCAAGGAACAATATCGGATAAATATGTAAATATAGTATGTGATATAATCATCTCTATGATTGCCTCTAGGGCATATCACTAACAATTTTAACATTGAACTTTAAGGGTGCCTAGCTTAGCTATTATATTTGATACATTTGCGACATCATATATTACTTGAATGAGCATGCTAAACTATATTGCATTAAAAATACATAAGAAGTTCAGATTAGCAATACCAGAGCAGATAAAAGAACCCATAGAAAAAGTAGTTAATCATTCCTTTTATAACTTAGTTGTGTTTGAGTGACTGGTTCAAAAGAGGCTGACAAACAGTAAACTTATTTGTGGAGTGACTGTTTCAAAAGAGGCATACAAACATGAACTCAGTACTAGCAACAAACCGACACCATTATTACTAACATTATAATGGTGATTTTGACAAAAGAAACAAAGAGATGCAATATATATGTAACTAAATAAGCATAAAGAATTATATGAAATTTTACTACTTTGAAATATACCAAGAGGTTAAAACCAGTACTATAGTTTCTTTAAGCCTTAAACAGTTCACAAAAAGTGAGTTTTTAATGTGTGTTTTTTTTCTGTCCTGCTTTAGCGCAGAAGATACAATACTCTAGCAGCACCAATGTCAGAGAAGAAATAATATGTCCCCAAAACTACTTCTCAGTGTTGCACTAGTCATGCTGCATCTAGCGTCTATATCTGCGCAGCCTAACCCTTGGTGCAAAAAACAATGTGGTGATGTCAAAATCCCTTATCCGTTTGGCATTGGCACTGGATGTGCTATTGGTGAAGGCTTTGAGATCATTTGCAACAGGAATGCTGATGGAATTGACCAGCCATTCACCGGTAACATCGAAGTTCTAGACATCTCAGTGGTTTACGGTCGAAGCCGAGTATTAGGCTCCATCACCACAAACTGCTACAACTCCAGTACAGGATCAGCGAATGTCAATTCCTGGTGGATGGATTTATCAACATCGCCATACCGTTTCTCTGATGCGTACAACACGTTTGTAGTCATTGGGTGCAATACGCTCGCATATATCTACAACGGACTGAACAGAACATCATATACAACTGCATGTGCATCAGTGTGCGGAGGACCAGAAGACCTGACAAATGGTTCATGCCTCGGAGTGGGCTGCTGCCAAAATGCCAATGCCATACCCAAGGGTTTAACTCGCCAAGATATCTATTTGTATACTATTTACAATACTTCAGAATCAGATAGTTGGAAGTTCAACCCATGCAGCTATGCTGCACTGGTAGAAACAGAGTCATTTAGTTTCAGCACAGAGTACATAACTACCATGAGGTTCAATGATACCTATGAGGGGCAGCAGCCGCTAGTGCTGGACTGGGCAATAGGAGATGTGTCTTGCGAGGTGGCGAAAAACATGACTTCATATGCATGCCATAGTGGGAATAGTATTTGTGTGGATTCGAAAAACGGCCCAGGGTATCTCTGCAACTGCTCAGAAGGGTATCAAGGAAACCCTTACCTCCCTGATGGATGCACAGGCAAGTTTTCCTCTTCACTCTGCAATTCCTTATCCTTATATCTTCAGTTCAACGAGATCTTGAATGATGTACTTAGTGATTATCTTAAAGGTGTAAATTTAAAACCATCATTTCCAATGAGCAAGGTGATATGCAACAAAAGGGACGATACATCATATATAGGAGGAATTAGTTCTTTTTTCTATTAGGGCCATCACAAAAAAAATAAACCAAAAACGTCACATCAAATGTTTGGACACATGCATGAGGCATTAAATGCGGGAAAAAACCAATTGCACAATTTACATGTAAATTGCGAGACAAATTATGTGTCCGTATACTTCAAAAACTTTACACCCAAAGAACTAAACACACCCTAGGGTGAAGAAATTGAAGGCACATAAATCCAGGTTGAAAAGAACCTGAACCTAGACTGCATGTACAATATGACATGCTTGATTTTCTCTCAAAAGCTTTCACACAATCTGAATAGAGGTGCATATATAGGGATAAGAGCAAGTTTAATAGTATAGCCCACTACTAGCTCCAATTCATTTATAGCCAATCTAATAGCTAATTTATATAATAGTTGCTTACTATACTATTAATATATATATAGTCCCACCTGTCATACATACATTGCGTCTTGGAGTCCGTGCTGTAGCTGGCTACAGATCTGTAGCCCGCTGCTTTTCTCTCTCATCATTTATCTTATTAAAATATGTTTATAGCTGGCTAATAGTCTGCTATTGTATCTGCTCTAACACGGCATGCGCATGGATATTGAGGTAGACTTGGTTTATGAGTTATGCCACCACCCAATGTCTTCTTGATTCCAGATGCATTCGAAAAAAATGAGGTAGCACATATGGACAATTAGGAAGCTAGACATATATAATACCATCATACAATGTTGAAGGGCTAAACGATTTTGAACAATAATTTAAAATTAAGATCAATAGAAGATTTTACACTCTATAGCTTATCATATTTTCGCTTATGCTTAAGCTTATCAGCCAAAATTTAAATTTTCAATCTTAAATTTAAAGCTGATTTTAAGGTTTATTCATCGAAGTTTATATTTCAGCCTTTACTTTTAGATCGCTAAGAACACGTATATAAAAATTTTATTCACAAATTACTTTTTATTTGTAAATATGTAGTTTCGCACTTCCGCCTATTCCACAAATAAGCGAAACGATGGGGCTTATATATACTTCTTAATAGAGCAGATGATACAGTGAGAGCATGAGGTTCACTTCCATTCCTTTTCCATTATTGTTAGGAAAAATTATTTTGGTGGGAAAATATTATTTTCTCCTAATTCCAGACAGAATTTTTGCATGTAGCGTCATTTCACAGTTATCAATCAGTAATAAAACTTTCCAAATTTTTTTCACACAACTTTTAGTCTTTAAATGAAGGAGTTGATGATAGTGGATTCTACACCAATTCCAACTACATATCATTTGTGCGAACATATATGCGAATGTGTACATGCTATCTGTAAGATTTATAGAAAAATCTTGTATTATTGCATAGGGAAAAGTCCGAATTACTCCTCTAAACCTAAAAACCAGACATCTTTCACGCTTGACTATTAATATCGGACAAAGACCCCCACCCCCCCTAAGCACTGTTTTGGAGCGGTTTTGACCTGAGATTGCATAGGTGGCATCTACATGGCAATTCAGTCAACTAAATAAATAGAAAAAAAATCCATGGCCTCACTTGTCATCTCTCTCCCTCAAAATATCCCCTCCCCTAACCTCTCTCCCCTACTCTCTCTCTCTTGGGGAGACGCTCGCGGCTGCGAGGGAGCCGGGGGGGGATGTGCGGCAGCGGACGAGCCGGGAGGCAAGCGTAGCGGCGGGGCAAGCCGGGAGGCACTCGTGGCGGCGGGGGAGTCGGGAGGCGCTCGCCCTCGACGCCCCCTCCGCGCCCCGACTACCTCTGCCCTCGCCCCCGTCGGCCGCCGCCCCGACTGCCTCCGCCCTTCGCTCCCATCGGTCGCAGTCCTCGGCTCCCCCTTAGCTGTCCCAACTGCTTCCGCTCTTGCCGACGACGGTGGCTCCCCTTCGCCGCGCCGACTGCCTCCACCCCACCCCCGTCAGGTGTCGTCGCTGACTACCCTCCGGCCCTAGAGCTGCCCCTCCTCCCCACTGCATCTGCCCGCCACTATTCTCGAGTCCCCCTCCGCCGCCCTAACTACCTCCACCCTTGCCGATGACGGCAACTCTCCCTCCGCTGTCCCGACTACCTGCATCCATAGTGGAAAAAACCGGACCGGTAGATGACCCGGTCACCCTGCTGGTTCACCAGTTTGACGGTCCAATTGTGAAGCGGCCGGTCAAACCGCGGTTCACTAAGTACATGTAATACATGTATTTCCATACTAATACATACATCCAGCTGGTAGGATGGCTACGGAAGTTTGCTTGTAACCAATTGACCAGGGGTCGACTCCCCACCTAGCGCCGGCAAAAAAAAAAAATCAAGCCTGCGGACATGTATGGCCCAAAACACACTAAATGGGCCGTCGCGTTGTGTGGCCCATTCATTCACTGACTTGTATTAGTCCAGTCCGAGCGAAGGAGGTTTATTGCCCGGTTCATTGCAAAACCGGCCGGTTCAAGCGGTTCAATTGCATATCTGGTCTTTCTATTCGACCGAACTGTGCCAACCTCTGGTTTTGGTTTTTTCCGGTTGAACCGCTGGTCCGGTCCGGTTTTTTACACTAGGCCTGTGCCCCTGCCGATGACGACAGCTCCTCCTCCACCACAACGACAACCTCGGCCCCACCCCTGTGGGCCACCGTGGAGGAGGCGCGCCGGCGGTTACGTGTGTCTTGCGGCGGAGGTCGACGACGAGCCGCGTGCCGGCGGCCTCGAGCTGCCTCCGCCTCCACCCCTATCGGCCGCCGGCGCTCCCCCTCTGGTGAAAGAGAGACATGGAGATGAGGGGAGGAAGAAGAGAGAGAGGTGAGGGGAAAGAGATAGAGAGGGTAAGAGACTGACAGGTGGGCCCCGCTGATTTTTTTAAAAAAAAATTGCTGACTGGACTATCACGTAGGATTAAAACCACTCTGGTTTAAGTCAAGGGGATAATTTGTCTGGTATTGATAATTGAGGGTGAAATATATCTAGTTTTCGGGTTTTAGGGGGGTAATTCGTACTCACCCAATAGTTCAGGGGTGTAATTCGGACTTTTCTCTATTGCATATGAGCATTCATATATGGTCAATTTGGATTCGTATAATCATGTCTATAAGTTTTACATTTAAAGATAGCTATTTATCTATTGTGTTTTAAATTCTAGACTGATAGTAGTAAGGATCCATTGAAGCATTTGATGGACATGATAGCTAATTTGCAACGATTGATTGGGAAATATTTTTATGTGTAATGCAGATGTCAATGAATGCGAGCAGAATCCAAGTCCATGCACAAAGGGTGAAACTTGTCGCAATACAATAGGATGGTACTATTGTTCTCGGCCTTCTTGCCCTCTGGGAAGAAAGTTGGCAAGGGAAACAAACACATGCAACCCAGACATCAACCTTATCATAGGTAAATAGCTAGAGGTTAATTAGGAGCTTACTCTACTTTTTGCAAAATAGGTAAACTGCGCCTGCTCCTGCAACTCTATTCTAGGTCAGGAAGATAATTCATAAGCTTAGTTAGTAATAAAGTGGTCCCTTATGTAAATGGTACATATCTGCCCATGTGCATGGTATCATAAATCACAAATGCAGAAATGCTTCAATGAATGAGCAGCTACAAGCACACAAGGAAAAAAAAAGGCACAAAAGCATCTGAACCGCAGAGCATGAAAGAACAAAATGGCATGAGCTTGCTACTAGGCCATGCCAAGAATCTGAAAAGGAGAAGACAAGAGAGTAATATAATAATATCTGTAATTGTAGTAATAGTAATGCTACTGCTGCTACTAATAACAGTAATAAATTGTAGTCCATTGACATGCTAATGTGTGGAATTAATTTTACATTATACAGGTATCTGTATTGGCTCTGTTGCTCTAGTGATCACCATTTTCTTCATGCGTTTGATGTTTGAGCGAAGAAAGCTTACAGATGTCAAGAAAAAATATTTTCAGCAACACGGAGGACTGATATTATTTGATAAGATGAAATCGGATCAGGGACTTGCATTTAAGGTGTTCACTCAAGCCGAACTAGAACATGCAACAAATAAGTTTGAGAAAAGCCAGATTCTTGGACATGGAGGACATGGCACCGTGTACAAGGGTATAACAAAGGATAACATTACAGTGGCAGTTAAAAAATGTGCATTGATTGATGATAGGCATAAGAAGGAATTTGGTAAAGAAATGTTAATCCTTTCACAGATCAACCACAAGAACATTGTTAAGCTGCTGGGTTGCTGCCTTGAGGTGGATATCCCAATGCTAGTGTATGAGTTCATCCCAAATGGAACATTATTTGATCTTATTCATGGCAAGAACCGTACGTTTCATATCCCTTTTAGTTCTCTCCTAAGAATCGTCAATGAAGCAGCTGAAGGGCTTGCATTTTTACATTCCTATGCAAACCCACCAATTTTGCATGGCGATGTGAAAACCTCTAACATCCTTCTTGATGAGAACTACATGGCAAAGGTGTCAGATTTTGGAGCCTCCATATTAGCACTAAGTGATGAAGACCAATTTGTGACAATGGTTCAAGGGACATGTGGCTATCTAGATCCGGAATATCTGCAAACATGCCGATTGACAGACAAGAGCGATGTTTACAGCTTTGGTGTGGTCCTTTTGGAGGTCATGACTGGGCAGATGCCATTGAAATTTGAAGGTCCTGAGATTCAGAAAAGCTTGTCATCAAGTTTCCTACTGGCAATGAAGGAGAATAATCTTGAGGCCATGTTGGACAGTCAAATTAAAGATCATGAGAGCATGGAACTGCTAAGTGGGCTTGCAGACATAGCTAAGAAATGCTTAGACATGTGCAGTGACAATAGGCCATCAATGAAAGAGGTATCTGAGGAGCTTAGCAGACTACGAAAATTTTCAAAACACCCTTGGATACAACGTGATACTGAGATAGAGAGCTTTCTCAGTGGACCATCAACTAGTAACCTAGAAACTGAGCACAGCTATCTCAGTGGACCATCAACCAGTAACTTTGAAATCGAGCACAACACCGAGTATAGAAGGAAGGATGAAGAAATGCCCATAAACCCAAGCACTTCATACTTTATCCGGTGAAAACAAATTGTTACAAGATTGTACTCAAGCATTTCCACTTTCGTCCTTAACCTTATTCTGTCCAGTTCGCTGGTGATGTTTTATATTGCAATTAGGAATAACTTCTGTTTGGTTGCATAATTTGTCACTGTATATGCTTATGATAGTTGACCATGATTAAATCTATAGTGAAGTAACTATTATGCTATATACTTTTTTTTAAAAAAAAGTATAATGCTATATGAAATAAGTCAGTGTCAGGACATATTTGTGGCCAAAACATAACTCTATTTAGTATGTAACTCATGTTAATGTTCCTCTAAACAACTTCCTAAAAATTCTTGAACACTCATTAGCTTGGTGTCTGAAGAAGTTTATGTTTTCCGTTTATTCCGAAAGTGTTTGCTGAGTTCCTGGGTTCAATCTTAAAATTAGGAGTATGATGTAACACAAAGTAACTTACTTTGGGGGTGGTCTGGTAGTTTAAAGATGCCATTCTTGGCAACAATTTAAACTACCTACAGGAGCTGAGAAGTCTTCAGATGTAGCTTCTGTCGTTGTGCATAATCAGCCAAATCTACCGCTCCCGCACGCAAGGAAAAATTGCAAACGATTGTACCGAACTATGCGGAATCAGCAAGTTGGAAACTGTCATGGATCCATTCAATCTACACTATGGAGATCGGTCTGCGCTGGCTGGATGGGATTGGAGATCGGAGGAGAGACCTACGGATCGGAAGGAGAAAAAAATCGGACACCCATCCCATCGGATCGAGGGATTAAATCCCGACCATTGATAGCGCGTCGTCACTGTTGGATGCAAACTTCTCCGGGCAGCTGCATGCATGCAACTTTTCCCGCCCACAGAATTGCATGTGTGACAGGGATAGTTAATGTCTTGTAAGCAAACTGTAAACTATTTTTTCTCTTAAATTATTAATCCAAATCATGATCCAATTACACCATTAAATTCGTTGCAATTAAATCTTTAAAACAAGATCACACATGGATATATTCCGACGAAATTTTTTTTAACTTATTATTAAATTATTTTTAAATGTTGCACGATGTTACACCAAGTACATTGGAATTGTTTCACTGAGTAGATCGAAAATGTTTCAGTCATTTAAATCGGGCGTTGTTTCACCTTACATAAAAACAATATTTCAGTAAATAACGAAAGAATGTTTCAGTTCACTGCAATATTAGATCTATACATAGTGAAACATTGTGAGTACATTAGGTGAAACATTTTATGTGGAACAACAAATAAAACGAATTCCCTTAATAGAGTATTTCCAAAATACATGGCAAATATTTGATTTTTTAAAAATATTTTTGTATTTAGCTTGCATCGAATTGTAATTGTTGAAACATAAAAAAAAATGTTTGCTGAAACATATAAAAAATAATGTGCAACATGGCTAATGCATTAGTGAAATATTAATAAATACTTGTTGGAACATACATTAACAATGTGTGCAACATTTAAAAAGTAAAAAAAAAGTCATCAAAATATAGTCATGTGATATCTTGTTATAAAGATTTAATTATAACAAATTCAACGATATAATTAGTTTGAAATTCAGATAATAGTTTGAGTAAAAAAATCATTTTAAGTTTAAAATATGCTTACATGCACGCTCAGACTTACCACCTGCTGCTCATTTGGATTGAGGCGTCCAATTTTTTCTTCCGTGTCGGACGGCTGATGGTAAGCATTATCGGGGATCGGAACTTTCGGGGTCGATCGATCTGCACGTCGTGCGCCATCTTTTGTCGTCCCGAGGGGATGGGCGGGGTTGATCGGCGCCGCGAAGGATGCGGCATGGTGTGAAGGATGTGGCATGGTGACCGGCTGGAGGGACACCCGTTTCCCTGACTCGATTTTCTAGGTTTCATCCAATATCAATCTCTTCTCCTCATCGATCCTCAACATCTCCCTTTTTTTTCTCTTGTCCTTTCTCCACCGTTCTTCTCGTTCAATCGGCGGGCAACTGCTGTTGCAGCTACATCGGCGGTGACGCCGCCACAGCTCCGCCAAGCTAGGCTTCCTCCCGGCGACTGCTCCCCCAATCTCTGGCGCCCTCTCTGTTGTTTGCTCATCGATCATTGAGGGCGAGGTGGTGGGGAAAGGGGACCGTGAAGCAGTGGAGTTCTCGATGGGCGACGGCGATGGCAGGGCGGTTGCTCCCGTGTCTGTCCGCGAGGCAGCCATGGCTATTCCGGTGGCCGTCAGCGAGGTCCCCACGGAGCACTTCGTGAGGGACATCGGCGCAGCCATGGGGGTTCGCTTCCTGGCGTGCGAGGCGACCTACTACAATGGGGATCTCGTAGGTGGAGCTCTTATCCCCAAACCAGCAGCCAACCATGGGGCAAACTGGATCCCAAGGTGAGTGAGTATAATCTTTTTTCCACATTTTGTTCAAGGCGGGTGAAGATGTTGTGTTTGTATTTTTATAGGGATACTGTTTTTTGTTTGATAATGCATATGTCAGCACGATATATTTTGTTGAATTCGTTAGAACTGTTCATGGAAGGTACAATTTGTTTGATTCTTTGGTTGCTGTCAAGCCTGCTTTGAGACTTAGCAATCTGTTTAATATAATTTACTTGAAGCCACTGATTTATTTGCAACCAACTTGTACTGGCAGTAGCCCCATTATATGTTGTATATATTATTGTGATGGCATATGAATTTGATATGATTTGTCTTAAACAATCATTTCAACCTCATTTCAATTGTATGCATGGGCTTTTGTTTATGCTATAGAAGCTCAGCTTCTTCCTGAAAGGTTGACTAGCAGAGTGTTGATGAGCTACAGCAGGGTAGGATTTGTCAATGATGTATCCACTTATTCATATATTTTTTTTCCAGGGACAATTCTTGTCACATTGGTCATGCTCTGTTTAATGATCTGATCTGTTCTGCATTAAGCAAGTGTTTCTAGTTATTTCAATTGCACGTAAAATTCTGAGTTTGTACATGTTTGTATAAGATAGCCGATGAAAATTTGAGGACCAAGAACAACATTTATACATTGTTAATACACATAATAGAGAAAAGAAACAATTTTGCTAAACAAGAAGGTTGTTTTGTATAAACTATGAATCAGGACAGTGGCAAACTAATTTTGTATGAACTTATTTTTCAGGCGCAAACTAATTGACCTGTGACAATCGATCAGATGCTTTTTTCCTTCGTTGATACTACTATCTGCTAAGCTTACGTTTCAGTTTCCAGTTTTCATTTGTTCATGCACAAGTCCTCAAAAGGTCACAACCAACCAAATCAAGGATCTTTTTGCCACACACATAAACACTGCTGCAAAATTTGTTTACCTGTGTTTCTATGCACATTTAATGCGAAAGTGAGTTCATCGAAAGATCAGAGGCAGGCATCTTTTTCTTTGTGGTGTTTTGCTGCCTTTGTTTGGTTTTGTGCTTAGTTGAGCTGAGGTTGCCGTGTGATCCAGGTAGGGATGGTGGTGGTGGAGCAGGGGGGAGGGACAGTTTCTCAGCGAACTCTGCAAGCACAAGTTCAGCCAAGAAAAGCAGAATAGGTACAGTGAAAAGAAGCATTTGGACCACGCCTCCTGATTTACAAGGTTAACTATTTTGTAAAACCAAAATATTATGTGCACATTACAGTTTTGTTTTACCTTTATTGAATTATTTTGTAATTTATTTTATGTGTGTGCTGTGATTGATGCACATGAGTGGACATCTTCATTCCTTTTTCTGTTCTGGGATATTCTAACCTTCCTTATTTGGCCCTCCACGTGGACGTCGAAGATTGCTTCTCAACGACGGTTGTGGGGCATTTCCGACCATTCCAACCACCACAACCGTCATACTCGAGCTATAAATAGGTTTCACCTCCTCCACTCCTTCACACACTCCAAGAAGAAGATCAAGCTCTCTCTAAAGTTTAGTTTAGTATTCTAGTGCTAGTGGAGTAGAATTAGAATAGTTCTCTTAATCCTCGAGTCTTCAGAAGATTTCCGCTGCTGCTTCTTTGTTTGTCGGTACACTCTCTTGGAGTCACTCTGAAGATGTGACCTCCTAATAAAGGTATAATCTATCTATGTTGTACTTTGTTGCTCCTATGCATCTAAGTTGTCCGCAGATACCAGTATGGTGTCCTGGGACTGGTACCGGCATCTTGGTTCTGTAGGAGTTGGTTGGGACCGATTTCTACGACGCACCCTCTCTGATGTCACTGTTAAGTGGTGCCAGAGCGGGGTGTGACATAATACAAGAGATCTTTTAGACCGAAAGAATTGCAGGCCACATGATGATATATTTTCTTGTTCTTTTTTACAAGAGTAAGAGAAATAAGAGAACACCTCTTTTTTACGCCTTTAAATATTGCATCTTGACATTTGATCGACTTTATCTGGAAAATAAACTTGGAGAGATGTCAAAAGATGGCAGCACTATGCAACATCTTTGAGGCCACCTGTTTTATAGAGGTTTTCTCTATGGTAGCTTGAAGATATGGAAACAAATAAACAATCTTATTTTCAACAATATCTATCAGGCTCTTGGGGATTGGAGAGCTATGTTTAATGAGGAACTAAATATTCATTTGCTCATACTAAGATTAGAGATAAACATCCCCTTTAACATACCTTGTAAATAATATTTTTTAGGGTTAAATATTATTTTTATTAATATGTCGTGGGGGCCTCCCCACTGTTTCATGGTAAAAAAAATGTTTAACGGGAAGAGACACCAGGTCAATGTGTATGTATAAAAGCATATTACGTGTTTATACACAGCCCTCAAGCCTCCCAGGACAGAGTTTTTTTTTTTCATCCAACACTAATAGAAACTTTCTTATCCGTCCTCTCAACCTTACTGTTTTACACAAACCACACTGTTAATTGTCTTAGCTTAAAAAAATTGCTAGAAAATAAATAGTTTAACGAGTCAAGGAAACAAGTTCTTGTTCCATGGTATGGCATGTAGAGGCAAGCTGAGTTAATGAATCAGCATCCATTCCGATGTCAACATTCTGAGTGAAAGAAGTAGAGTCATAAACGGAAGGAAACAATTGCATCGCTTCCACGTTCTTTTGTGACTCATCTTGAATCTTCTTTGTAATATTGGCTCTTAGGAGCTGTAATCTTGACTCCACTTCTTTCATGGTCGGTCTGTCTTCCCCTCTAAGTCTCAAGCAAGCCTCAGCAAGTGATACAAACTCATCAATTTCTCCTAGGTTTCCTTCCTCAACTACCTGAGAATCCAACATATCAGTTGTTGTCTTATCCCGTAAACTTTGAAGGAAGTAATGACACAGATTTTGCTTTTCACCAGAGCAATTGAGAAAGATTGGTTTCTTCCTTGTTAGGAGCTCAACTAGTATTACACCAAAACTATAGACATCACTCTTTGCAGTTAACTGGCCTGTGTGATAGTATTCGGGATCCAAGTACCCAAATGTACCTTGCACAATGGTGACAACATGGGTTTCATCAATGGAAATAGACCTTGAAGCACCAAAATCGGAAACCTTTGTAGTGAAATTGTCATTTAAGAGTATATTGGCAGATTTGACATCTTTGTGAAATATTGGAATTGAAGCAGCACAATGGAGATAAGCAAGGGCGCTTGCAGTTTCTAGAGAAATTCTAACCCGATCATCCCATTTCAATGAGCATTCAGTGCTCATATCGCCATGTAGAATGTCATAAAGTGTCCCATTAGAGATGAACTCATACACGAGCAAAGGTACCTCGGATTCAAAACAACAACCGAAAAGCTTAACTACATTGCGATGAATGATTTGGGATAAGATAGCCACTTCATTGACAAATTGATCAATCTCACCTTGCTCTACAATTTTAGACCTTTTTATGGCTACAACACGCTGATCTGATAATATACCCTTATAAACTATTCCATGGCCTCCCCTTCCAAGAATGCGTGTGGAATTAAAATGGTCAGGTGCTCTTTCTAACTCCTCCAAAGAAAATATTTTTGTACTATGTGCCACACTTTCATCTGATGATATTAGTCGTTCCAGGACAAGACCTTTGTTTTTTCGGAAGTATGCCCTTCGAATTTTCTTTTGAATACCTCGCTTCCACCTTCGCAGTAATATAGTTAGGACTAATGAAAGGGCTAGAACTCCAGTACCAACAACTAGTCCAATAACAACCCCTGCAAATTAAAGTAGATTCAACTACAAGTCCGCATAACGAATATGTTTTTTTTTTCATAAACTACTACTAACATCTATGTGATCAAGTTTATTAATCCAAATATGTGTGAAGACAGCTGTATAAAACTTTCATCTTTAAACTTATCAAATTTTTCGTGGGAATTATGTTATCATATTTTGCTTAGCAAATTTGTTGCATCTTGATGCAAAGATTGCCATATAGAAAAATACCATTGAAATTGTATCTCCCAAATTTTATTTCAAAAAGGACAGTGTTATTCCGCTCGGCCTTCATCGGCCTCTACAACTCCTTCAAGCCAATTGAAGGGGAGCAAATTTTACGATTGATGAGTATCACCTGCCAGTCTGCCACCCATGAAAATGCCCAGGACAAAGCCAGGATAAATAATCATCGGGGTCAGTACTAGTTAACAAGAGTAACATGCTATAGCTTCTAATAATATTCAGGTGTGCAATAGGAAAGGTTCAACACCTTTCTCCCATGCACGGAAAATGTGGTAGCTTATTAGGGCATGATTAACTAATTAATATCTAAAAAACTTGAAAATGCATCAATACAATTTTTAGATTTTTTTTCGAAAACACATCGTTTAGCAGTTTGGAAAGCATGCATGCGAAAAACGATAGATTAGAAATTGGAAAAGCATATGGAACAAAAGGAATGACAGCATGTTATGATAAAATAAATTATTGTTCTTGTAGTGGCTATCTCTTACATGTTAATTACAATTTACAACATATCATTGTTTAGAATTGTGGGTAGAAATTCTAGTTTCACAAGACATATGAAAGCAAACGACCACATCATTATTTGGATATGAACTGTTGACTCCATTAGTCTTTCAAGAATCACCATTGCGGCGGACTCTAATATGAAATGTGTGTGTGTGTGTGTATATATATATAGTTATTCTATACCCCCTCCCCTTTCTTGCTTCCCCCTCCCTCCTCCTGATCTCTCTCTCTCTCTTTCTCCCTCCGCCTCCTGATCCCGATTCCCCCTCCCTCCTCCCAATCTCTCTCTCTCTCTCTTTCCCCCTCCGCCTCCCCCTCCCTCCTCCTGATCTCTCTCTCTCTCTTTCTCCCTCCGCCTCCTGATCCCGATTCCCCCTCCCTCCTCCCGATCTCTCTCTCTCTCTCTTTCCCCCTCCGCCTCCTGATCCCGATTCCCCCTCCCTCCTCCCCCTCCATATCTCTCTCTCTCTCTCTCTCTCTCTTCCCGATTCCCCCTCCCTCCTCTCGATCCCCCCTCCCGATTCCCCCTCCCTCCTCTTGATCTATCCATGGCACCATTTTTCCGGTTTTTTTCCTCCATTCTTTTTTCTATTTTCTAGCAAAATAAAAAATAGTTTGTCAAATTCAAGATTTGAACCCATGACCTCATAGTTCTAAGCATATTCTTATAACCAATTCATCTAATGATGCTATTTGTTTTGAGAATTCTGTGAGAAAGTAATATGATTATCAATTCCAATATTTTTCACTACCATCGTAAAACAAAAACAAATATACGTTACTACGAAAGTAATAACATGTTACTATGCTCTAGTAGTAATATTATCATAAAAGTACAGTAACACGCCACGTTACTGTACAACACATAGGACGTTACTGCACTTATGGCAGTAACATCGTAGTAAAATTGCAGTAGACCAGGAAGCGAAACAAAAATATATGGTTTAAAGCCTTATATGCTAACCATATACTTGTTACAGTATAAAAGTAGAAGCATTACTACATAATATGTGCATGTTACCACCTCCAAGTAGCTATGTTACTGCACGATAATTGTAGTTTTACTATGTCATTTTTACAAGATGAAGATCGAATAGGTGGGCCATTGGTAAAGTTTGTAGGTGGCTTCGAGCGAGGTCTGATTGATGTATGAGTGTTTCGAACAATTTTATATATTTGGTAAAACCATGTTACTGCATGTATATGTCCTTGTTACTATAAATTATACATTCTGTTACTGCATGTGGAGGGCTAAAGTTCAAAATGTTCTTTGAAAAACAATATCTCACAAGATACGTATTGTTTTTGAATTTTTGAAAACCGTTTCCACGATGATGCTATAGTGTTACTGCATGTGAAGGGTAAAACTTCAAAATGCACCTATGTACTCTCCTCCTCAAAAAACCATTTTGCATCCCTCTTCTCAAGAAAACCGGTCTCCTCCCTCCAATATAGTGTTACTGCATGCATGTATATGACGTTACTGCACTTCTGACAGTAATATTGTGGTGAATTGCAGTAAATCAAGAATTGGAACAAAAATATATGGGTTCAAAGTCTCATATGCTAACCATATACTTGTTACTGCACAAAGGTAAAAGTGTTACTACACGGCATATACACGTTACCACGTGTTTATGCAGTAACACTACCCAAAAATGCAATAAGATGCTTTGTTACTGCAAAACATATAGTATTTACTGCACTTTTACAATAACATCGTGATGTAATTGTAGTAACGTAAAGCAAATAGTAGTAACACTTACGATATAGTATTAATAGTAAAACCTGTGATATAGTATTATTACTTGTCAAGAGTTAAATTTTAATAGACTAATCTTTAAAGGTAATATCTCTCTACCCTTGCCCCACGAGTAAACCGAGCCAATTCTCCATATTCTTGTAGTAACGACATGATGTGATTGCAGTAATGTAAAACAGGCAGTAGTAACACTTCTGATATAGTATTACTGCTCGTGGAGACTTAATTTTTTTTTAAAAAAAAAATCTTTGAAGGGCAATATCTCTCACATCATGTACTACTTTTAAAAACCGTTTGCACTGTAATGTTCGAAAAAAAAGTCCTTATCAAAAGTAGATCCATCATAACTATATTATAACTGAATTTTAATTTTGTTATTGCAAGTAAAACATGGTGTTACTGCACGATGAACAAGACATTACTACGTCGTTCCGAGACGAGATCTAAAAAGAGAGGGGTGGTGGGGAAAGTCACTGGCGGGTTTGACCAAGAGTTGACCACGTGGGGGACCTTTGACCGGCCTTTGACTGAGGTGGGAGGTGGGTTTTGGGCCCTTGGGGGGAGAGGAGATGGGTTGGAGGGAGGGGGGTATAGAATAGTTTATATATATATATATATATATATATATATATATATATATATATATATATATATATATATATATATTTATTTATTTATTTATTTGTGTGGACTGACGTATAATCATAAACGTTAACTAATTTTGTATTTGCTACCTGCTAATAGTGTTGTTCCTTGCTGTCAGTTGAGCTTGAATAAAACAAATCATTGGAGTCTAGTGCTTTTGTTGACTGGGATCATAGCTGTAAAATAAAGGGGATATAGGGGAAGCTTAGGAAATCATCGGGGTCTAGTGACCCCAATGACTTTACATAGCTTTACTCCTGAAAATGACACATGTGACCCTCCGAGTCAATCACACGTGAGTTAAGGATATTGCAAATAATCAAATCCCCAGTCTATGTAATGGTAAATCATCAAATCCCCAAGCAAAATTGATGATTTGTCACTCTTTAATTAGCCAAGCATAGAAATTTTCAACATCAACTCTATACCATGTCTTGTTTTCAATTCCTGCAATATCTCGTGCATTTCTCAAACAAAATAATCCCTTTTTTCCCGTGGACAAAACTAATCCCTCATATATTTACGTTTGATGGTCAATGGTGTCCATTGTACATGATGATATAATTCTGACAATGTCATCTGAAGTGAATATATGCAATAATTGACTAGTTTCACTATTGTTTCAAGCGCAGGAAATTAATGCTGTAATATCAAATTTAACAGGAACAAAATGGACTGTTCGATGTAATATACCTATCACAATATTATGCCGCCGCTCATGAGGCTGAGTTGGAATGCATTTCGTTTCCACAGGGTCAAAATATGTGCCGTAGGGACAACCAGTGCAACTGTAGTTTCCTTCTCTATTCTTGCATATCCCCTTACAAAAGTTAGGTCTTGAGCACTCGTCGATATCTGCGTATAGCACCTTAAAAATGTAAAGCTGAAGTACACTATGACTAATATATATATATATATATACACACACACATATATATCCTACTTTATTGCTTTCGATTTACTCCGTAGTATTTAGTACTGGAGGTAAGAGCGGGTACCTGTACAACCCGGCCTGGTGTAAGGATTCCCTTTATAGCCAGGAGAGCACTTGCAGCGATAACCAAAATAGACATTGCTCTGAGTAACTGGAACACACTCGCTGTGGTCACTAATGCATGCATATGCAGTATTGTTATTCGCTGTTTCACATGATATATTGCTGACTGACCATTTCCAAACGCCATACACTTTAGACAAGTTGAAGTCAGTGTCATCCATGAATATATTTTCCAGTAATCTGTCAACCTCGTAATCTGTAAAGTGCCGTGCTGTCGTATTTTCATCAACTCTATCCAAATACACTAGTCCTTCATCTACCGAAATACTTGTCACTTCCATTTGCATGGGTGGTCTTCCGATAAGCGTTTGATTCGACGTGCAATTCAGTTGAAATTTCTTTTTAGCAGAACAACCTTGTTCTAGACCAAAGGGAAAAGGAATATTTGTACTGCCACAAAATTCGGAGCAGTTCCGCTTTTTCCGTGCGGAGATGTAGTACTCTGTTCGATTCAGAGAACATTTGTTACTTATATGAACAACACTAACAGCATGTGCGCATACTATTGTACACAGCAGTTCAAATAAGTTAATATGGTTGGAAAAGGATGGCTTGTTTTCGTATGAGGAGTGAAAAGTTTTGTTTCACAAGTTGGGATAAACATTTGAATGCCTCTTAATTTGTTCTCGAGACTAAAAAGCAGGGCAGACCCAAGCCCCCGTCCTTATGCTATGCCATTGTCCAGGGCCTGAGATGGAAGGCCCATTGAGACCCTTGAATTTTCACCATGTGAACTTTCGTTGGACCAAAACAGTAATGGGACGGTCCAGGCCTTGATCTATTTTTGGGTTCGTCGTTACTGAAAAGTACTTGCTCCGTTTTGTTTTATATTACAAGTCGCTTTGAAATTTTCTTAGTTAAACTTTTTAAAAGTTAAAAGTTTTATTGAATTTATAAAAAAAATAGCAATATTTATATCACTAATTAACAGCCCTATTGTTTGGCTTGTTCATGGAATAAGCTAAACGACATATTTAAAAACGAAAAATAATTTGTAAATAAAACTTTTATATATATGTGTTCTTAGATATTTAAAAGTAAAGGCTGAAAAATAAGCTTCAATGAAAAACACCAAAATCAACATCAAATTTAAGGTTGAAAATTTGAATTTTGGTTGATAAGCATAAGCATAAAAAAGATGAGATCGTAAATTAGTTTTATTAGTTCTAACATTGAATATATTTTGATAGCTTCTTTGTTTTATGTTGAAACATTTATTATATTTTTTTATAAATTTGATCAAAACTAAAGAGGGTTAACTGAATCGACTTATAATATGTATTATAAACAGATGAAATATAAGTAAGTACTTACAATGTACCTTCTTACAATAAATTAACCTTTTTATGTGTATCACTTAATGGTATATTCTCAAGATTCTTTAAAACCTTGGAGATAAAAGATACTATGGGTATTGAGAAACAAACAAATATTTAATACTTTTAAAAAGCAAGTACTTTAGGGAATGCACAACAGTCGAATAAAATAGAAAATAGCGTGCCCTGGATATATGTAAAGGACTACCAAATATGTGCTGCACCGTGCACATCAGATATACGACTTCATGAATCCAGACGTGATGAAAGGATTTTGCATTACTTAAATCTTTTATTAACAAAATTATATACCTAAACCCAATGAAAATATTTTTCAAATAAATATTTTGGCCACACCATCGGCCATATGCATATATAGCGTGAGAGAGTGTTGGCACGCCAATAAGTTATTGGTGCTTGATTTGTAAAATGTTTGTATTATATACTACAAGTTCAATAAACTTCCTACGAACACTTCTAAACCATAAGAGCAGTAGAAAATAAAAACTTCTAAACCATCATATCGCATTTCTATAAATACTCCTAAACTACCACATGGACCTATCAAATCGATCTCACTATTGATTTTCATTTAGATTAGTGAACCCATTATTTTACATCATTAGATTAGATTTATTATTAATAATAATAATTTCTTCCTGTTTATACGAGACAAACACTGCTACTGGGTTCTCGTATGGACGACTGAAAACAAAACAATAAAACTTACATATTGTTCACCACAGAACCATACGAACGTAGATAAAAAAGACTTTTTAAAAATGCTCTTAAGGCTCTCCTATAAACTCTTCTAAATCTTCACAGGGTACTATCTAACATTACCGTTGATTTTCACTTAAATTGATAGACCTATTATTTTACACAATTAGATTACATCTATTATTAAAAAATAATAATCTCTTGTTTATACGATACAACGCTGTTACTGTGCTCTCCTAGATTGGAACCAAAACAATAAAGCTTACATACTGTTCACCAAAAGAACCATACGTACTTAGATTAAAAAAGACAGCCAAAAACATACTCCTTCCGTCCCAAAAAAAAAAAAAAAACTTCTGGGGGTAAATCTGGACAAACATTTGTCCATATTCATCCCCAGAAATTGGTTTTTCATGGGACGGAGGGTATACATCCATAAAATCACGGTCTTTGAAATATGATTTTCTACAAAATAAAAATAAAATATATTAATTCAGATATATATATATATATATATATATATAATATACATATATATATACATATATACATATATAGAACTAAGATCTATAATAAAATATAAAGTATAAAATTTGTGATTCCATTGTATTACTTTAATTAAATTGTTATAAAAGTTATATTATGGTCCTAATACAACACGACACAAGGGACCAATATATAATAGTTAGTTCTATGATAATTTTCCAGAACATTCGCATCATATTTTAGGGGTTGAAATATCACTTTACAAGTATACAACACTAATTTAAATCTACATATTAAAAATGAGAAACACAATTTAGTTGTGTTTTTCAAGTATATCTAATTAAATTATAATTTGTTTGAGATTAAGATTTTCAAAGTTTTGTATATTTTCATAACTATTTGATTGGTATTTCAAAAGTGAGTAGCATACATAGCATATACTCATTCATCTCAAAATAAAACAATTAACATCACTCATAATTTGTCACAAAATATAACAGCTTTTTCTCCAACATTTTCTTCTCAACCAATCAACCCCCCCCCCCAATTTACTATCACACATACCTTCAATTCTCAACCAATCACGACCTCTCCATATTTAATTCTAGAGAAAATCCATGAAATGCCATCGACAAGCATCATAATCCTAGAAATGCCATCGACAAGTGTAACTTCCTGAAAATGCCATCGCCATCAACCTACCGTTCATTTCACACCGTTACAACCATAAATTTGACTAAATTACCCCAGTCCAAAATATATCCTCCCAATCCACAGTAAAAGAAAAAACAAAAATGGCGTGACGGTCGCAGCCAAGGGCACGGGTGTCGTAGGCGCCGGGGCGAGGGCTGCAGGAGCCGATGGCGGAGGGGGAAGCGCCATGCCCGTAGTGTCGGCTGCCCGCACGCCGGGCCGACCACCTGCACACCTGCAGTGCCGGCCATCCACCTCGTAGCCGATCCGGCCGGCCGCCGCACCTCCATATCCGACCCTTCGCTGACAGCTGTGTGCCACCGGAGCGAGGAAGAAGAAGAACAACAACAACAAAACAAAAAAATGAAAAAGAAAGGAAAATCAAAAGCAGTACGCGTCGCGTCGCCGGGATGTCGCGCTCGCGCCGCGCCGTCGGGTTGCCGCAGCCGCGCCCTGCGCCTAGCCGCACCGGGGACGTATCAACTTGCACGCTGCCCGTGCCGGAGCACGGTCTCCACCGCCTGCGTTACGCCTGACCGCCACATGACGACTGCTGGGCACGCACCGCTACCGACCGGCTTGGCCCTGCCATGCCTCCCCGGCCTCCCGCGCGCTGCGCCGTGTCTCTCACCAAAGCCGCTACACTAGCGCCACATGGGATCGACTCGTTGGGCATACTGCGCCACCGCCGTGGACTGCCGCCTCGCCGCCGTCGCTGACCGGGAGAGTTGCGCCGCCGCCGGGGGAGGCGCCTAGATCGGGTCTAGGGTTATAGGAGCAGCTGTGATGTTTTTTTTTTCCATTTTATTTTTTTCGATGTGAATTGGGAGGGTATATTTTGAACTGAGGGAAATTTGGTCATTTTTATAATTATAACGGTGTGCATCAACGGTAGGTTGACGGCGATGGCATTTCTGGAAGAAAAAGGCTTATATGATGGCATTTTTTGGAAGTTATGTTTGTCAATGTCATTTCTATGATTAGATTAGAGTGCTTGTCCATGGCATTTTATGGATTTTCTCTTAATTCTACCTTCTTTTTTAATAACCATGTTCAACACTAAAATATTTTGGAATGGAGGTAGTAGATATAAACAAAATATCAAAAATATTTAATGCGATCCCTTAATCCATCATAAGATTTATGAGCATATATTTTATTTCTTTGCCAAATATTTTTGACATAAATGAACAATGAAGTAAGATGCGTAATAAACTACTCATGATATATTTTCTTAAGGAATTTCAATATGTCAGATATAATTGATGGATATATGTCATAAACTCCACTAACATGACTATAAGTGTACTCGAATGGATTAGTTGTTGTAAATAAGTTTGGAAAATAAATACATTCTTCAAATTAGTAAAAGTGTCTCATATGATTATAAACAATAGTTGTTGAAAACGAACTAGACGCTAAACTATTCATATTTGTCAAAATATAAACAATAATATGGTGTTTTGTACATTATTGTAGTGATATGTCTCTTTAACTATAATTTTTTTAAAATATCATCAAGTGATTCACCTTGCCCATTTTCAAAAGAGAGTTTTCTATCTATATCGTAAAAATTTGAGTAGTACTGATCAACGCCATAAACAAATTGTGTCTACACTATATATACCACAAATCCGCTCAAAACATTTAGGAAAACATGGACAATAGAGTTTTCTACAGTATCATAAGTATAGCATGAAACATATGGCTAACTTAAGGCGGGCCTAGTGGAGGCCACCATCACTAATAGTGCTCAACATTCTACTTACCGATGCAATACTCCATGAGTATGTGATAATGAATTAGGTATTAAAATTATGCTCCAAGCTAGTCTTGAGGAACATGGCTACATTGATGTGGGGCCCATGTTTTAAGGCAACAGAGAAAGAAGTTTTGGTGGCTATGATCGGCTTCACCCATTAGAGTAGCATTTGTATTAACTTTAATGGTGCTATCAATCAATGGATAGAAGTGGTGGTATTTTTCAATATCTATATATGGTTTTAGAAATAAGTGAGATATGAAACCTAAATAGTGGATATTTTAGTGTATAATGATGTATTAGGCTTATGTTATTGGTACATATGCAGTAATAAGTAATTGCGACAATAGGAGAATTTATATATTATTCTTATTATTTAATAACATTTAAATGGAAATTATGAGATATAACTTCTTTTAGCATTGTTTTTATAAAACAACCAATAATATACACAAAGTATCTGCGCGGGCTTTCTTTCATCCTAGTTCATTATAACTATTCTTTATTCTCAGTCGCAATAAATTGTATAGGAATACCTTGTTTGCAGCCGTGGAGAAGGTAGGGATTGTCATAATCGAAACTATCAGCAGGGCAGGTACAAGAATAGCCGCGCTGGTTTCTCTGATCAACGCATGTGCTACCGTCGCTGCAGGCATAATCTGTCTTATTCAAACCCAACTGAGCAGTTGAGCAATTGAGTTGATCTGTAATAGCAACTGAAAAGAATAACGATGTAGCACCGATGGTGTTTGCGTTTATCTTCTCTGACAGGAGATCTGCCGTATTGAAGTAGAACTGGCTGTCACTTAAGAAGGCCTTAATTGTAGAATTACCAAGTGCAACCGAATGTGTTTCTTCCCTCTGAGTGATATTAAACCGAAAGGCACGGACTCCACCTGGCAAGTCGATGGTGCAGCAACCGATGCCATTGCATGGTCGTCCTGATAACTTTTTGTCCATGAGCGCCATGTTGGTGCACTCACTCCTGCAATACCCCTGTAATATATTGGTATGACTGCGGAACAAGTAGACGTCGATTCCGCATCCGACAATCACCAGAGAATTGGTCGTGTAGGTGCTTAAGACCCTCCCAGGTGCCTGCCATGACCTGCTATAGGTGCCAAGCAATCCTGGGGTGGTGGCGATGTTGAAGACGACAGAGGCCCTGACATATCCGTATGGATATTGATAAGAAATCTCCGTCGTGTTACCGAAGAAGAGCTTGGGCGGCTTGGTGGTGGTGTTGCAGATGAGCTCGAAGCCCGGCCGGAAGCAGCCGGTGCCGATGCCAAAGGGATATGTGATGTTCACGTCCCCGCAGGAAGTGGGGCAGTGACGAAGATCACGGGCAGAGGGAGGCACGCCGAGTGCGAGATGCAGCGTCGCCATGGCAGCCACCAGGAACAGCAACCAGCAGAGCCTCATCATATCCACCACTACAACAGCCAGAACGGTGTATCAGTATACCAGTCTGTACAATTCAATCTGGGGTAATTTTCTATGGCCGCTGCTGTTTATATAGGGAAAGACCACCACCGTGTGTGATTCGATTTATGTATTTCTGCACTGCTGTGTTTACTTCCACCGGCAAAAAAATTTGGCGGGTCACATATGATATACAAACACACATTTGAAGTATTAAATATAGACTAATAACAAAACAAATTACATATTTTACATGTAAACTACTAGACGAATTTATTAAGCCTACTTAATCCATCATTAACAAATATTTACTGTAGCACCATATTATCAGATCATGGCGCAATTAGACTTAAAAGATCCGTCTCGCAATTTACACACAAACTGTGTAATTAGTTTTTTTTAATATTTAATACTTACATGTGTTCAAATGTTCGATGTGACGGGGCAGAAAAATTTGCCTGTGGATATAAACACCCTCTAAATAACAAGTCTGAGAAGTGTTGTGCCTAGTCTAGCCAACGACGTGGATGATCAGAAATGTATAAATCTGGGTTAATTAAGGCCTTGTTTAGACTTAAAAAATTTTGGCCAGAAAACGTCACATCAAATGTTTGTATACATACATGAAGCACTAAATGTGGACGAAAAAAAATAATTATATAGTTTGCATGTAAATTACAAGACGAATCTTTTGAGCCTAATTACACCAAGATTTAATATTGTGATGCTTACAGTAAACATTTGCTAATGACGGATTAATTAGACTTAATAAATTTATCTTGCAGTTTACAAGCGTAATCTGTAATTTGCTTTGTTATAGGCTATATTTAATACCCTCAAATATGTGTCCATATACTTAAAAAATTTTACACCCAAAGAACTAAACACACCTTAACTGCAAAATGTGGGTATGCAAAAGATCACAGTGGAGTTGTCCACCCCAACTGACACGCCAATGACTGTGTCCTTTCAGTCGGACTAGCGAGACGCGCTAATACTCGCTCAACCGGAGACTGACTTTGCTATTTGTAATTATACCTTAGATTTAGTGAACTTCTCGGTACTCCCTCCGTTCCATAATATAAGGTATTTTACGTAGATATGACATATCATAGTACAATGAATTTGGATAGACGGTATGTCCAGATTTATTGTACTATGATATATATTAGGGCCTATTTAATTTGCGAAAAGAAAATTTTTGAGTGTCACATCAGATGTTTGACCGGATATCGGAAGGGGATTTCGGACATAAATAAAAAAAACTAATTTCATAACTTGTCCGGAAATCGTGAGATGAATCTTTTAAGCCTAATTAATCCATCATTAGCATATGTGGGTTACTGTAGTTCTTATAACTAATCATGGACTAATTAGTCTCAAAAGATTCGTCTCGCGATTTCCTCCCTAACTGTGTAATTAGTTTTTTTAATCTATATTTAATGCTCCATGTATGTGTCAATGATTCGATGTGATGTTTTGGAAAAAAATTTTGGGGAACTATAGGCCTTAGGCCATTCCCAACCCAAACACTAGACATAGTTTTCATAAACTCCACATCATCACGAAACTAGTACTAGACACCACTCTTCCAATGCAAACACCACTATTCTATACTTAAATTTAATATTACTTATCTCACATGATGTTTTGGATGTTGTGTAGAAATTAACCATGCCTCATGCAAGACATGGTTTCCTTCTTTTTTCTCATTTATTCACTTGCCACATTATTTTTTATTTTAGGTGGTAGCTTATTTAATGGTATGGACACTGTCTCATTGGGTTGGGAAAGGCATTGGTGACAACATGCTGAAGTAATTGTCAACCAATTAATTTGTAGAGGAAGAAGTTGCTTTCGGCACCTGTGCTTACTTGACTACATGCTGAAGTAATTGTCAACCAATTAATTTGTAGAGGAAGACCTGCCTTGCCAGTCAACGATTAGCTTCATGTTAGAGATTCCACCGTACATAGCAATTCTGCACTTCCTGGCCATAACCAAATAAAGGCAAAGTTCATATGTAGCACCGAGTGCTTGCGATTTCAGTTTTAAAACATCAAAAGTTCACGGTTTCATGTAATCACACTGAGCTTTATAGTTTTACCGCCATTATATCTCACATAAGCTAACTGCCAACCCGTTGACGTAAATATGAAAAAGATAGGTTTTTTTACGTTCTAACATATTTTTTAATTATATAACTACAGATTCTTTTAAACTTGTTGAGAATTTGTATTGTTTAAGGATGCTGGAAATTTTGGGAGAACCTACACAGGTAGAACCTCCAAATGGGAGGCCATAGTATTTCCATCACTTTGCTTGAAGGGTGCAAAAACTTAACTACCCACTAGCAATATGTGAAGTGGGAGTGACGGTGGGTCATGGATGCCAGCGATGGATGGGCGTTGTTGCTGGCAGTGTTGTGGATAATGGAATACGGATGTCGGACAGAGAGGGTACCGGTAAACGATTAATCGGAGTACGGACGAATAATCTGAATTTAACGGAAATTTAACGTTTAGCACAAATATATCTATAACTCATAATAGCTTACTATTTTTGACAGATACATGCATATAACTACATATATATACCTACTATTCTTAAATAAAAATAAGGATAACATGATATTAACTCGACATATAGTAAAATATAGGTCTGAATAATCATAGTTGTGCATCAAATAAGGATTAGATGAGAAGAACTAACCCTAGACTTGCTGGTTGTAGCGGCAGGAATGAGCTGCAAGTGTTTTGGGATTGCAAACGACGTTCTGTTATCTATATAGTGCTAGGTTACACAACTAATGAGCTAATATAGTTATTATGGGCTGGCTAGGCATGGTCTTGTCACGTCATTAGGCCCGTTTATTCGGCCGAGTCGAGATGGGGAGAGACTACCGCTGGCGATGTCACTCATGATAACCATCAAGTTCTAAGTTGTGGCCGATGCGAAAGTGCAATCGAACTTTTCGCTTCCTCTTGGTGCGCCTGATTGCTTTCTGTCCCCGGTGTCGGTGTGTACGGCTGCTTCTGCTTCGTAGCTCTTCTCGGCGCTGCGAAGTTTCCTCGTAAGTTTCGCACTATTAGAGTATATTGACCAACCCGAGTTAAAGCCGTGCTTAGGTCCCTTCAAATTTTCAAAAATTTCGTCACATTAAATGTAACGAAAAAAAATCAATTGCACAGTTTTCATGTAAATTGCGAGACAAATCTTTTAGACCTAATTACGCCATGATTTGACAATGTGGTGTTACAGTAAACATTTGCTAATGATGGATTAATTAGGCTTAATAAATTTATCTCGCAGTTTACAGGCGGAATCTGTAATTTGTTTTGTTATTAGTCTACGTTTAATACTCTAAATGTGTGTCCGTATTATTAAAAAAGTCCCACTGTGAACATCAGAGCGATCTCGTGGCCGTTGGATGACCCGATCGACGAGGCCTCTATGAGGGCTGTGTAGCCTCTGGAGCGTCAGCAAGCTGAGAAGGTCCAATCTCGTCAGCTGGAGCGTGGTCGGCGTCGTCCTCGTCACTCTCATCTCCTTCATCACTATCGTCCTGAGCAGGGCGTGCGACCCTAGTTGTTCGCCTGGAGGAATCAGCGTGCTGAGGCGTTGCTTGAGATGATGATGCGTTCCAAACCGGCGTCCTCACCGTTCCTGATGACGACGCCTGCCTCGAAGACCGAGACGCCGCCGCCCGCTTGTATGCCTATTGTCGCTTGTATTCTTGATTGCGCATGCTGTTGATGATTGTGATGCTAGCTGCTGCTGTTGATGAATCTGAGAAAAATCCTCCCTAAAACATTTTGCTGCTATCGGTGAAACGATTTGTGTGTGGTTAATTTCTTTTTTGGTAAAAAAATCTTTTTGCTGGCAGGTGACGTAAGGACACCGATTTTTGCAGGCGGGTGAAGGCTCCGCGCAGGCCTTTACGTGCAGGCAGATCATCTGCCCGCTGGTGAAAATGCGTTTCGGCCACCTGCAAAAATGTTTTTCTAAAAATGATACTAATACCCACCTTACTACCTACTCCCACAAGGTGAACCAGGTATTAGGAATTATTACTACTGACTTTTTCACACATTGTTGATGCCCTTATGAATGATACCCCGGGCTGACTTTTGTTGATTCTACTTGTAAGTCGAATCAAGGCAAATGTACCATCATGATCTCAGCGTATCGTAGATCATTTTTTTCAAATGTACCATCATGTGAAGAACTCCTTATTTGCATATTTTTCTCTTATTTATGAATTTTTCATATTTTCTGTTGGATTTTTACATTTTTATGATCTTCTGGTTTTTCTGTAGGTTTTATCCATTTCATCTGGATTTTTTTATTTTGTTTCGTATTTCACCTTTTTTCTGTATTTTTATAATTTTGTTTGAATTCTTTCATATATATTTTTGAAATACATTTTGTTCCATGCAATACTACATCCCCTAGAGTTTCCAAACTTGCGCAGAGAAAACTCTCCGACTGGGAATCTCCCCCAAGGAAATGGATGAGGATCGAGTAGATGCATGTCACCCAAAAAATTGCTTCACCGAAGCTTGAGCACCTGACTGACATAGCTAAGTCACACAGCAAAAGGCGCTAAAAGAAACCTAAGCAACAATCTTGCGACATTTTTGCGCTAGCTATATACTAGTATATATGCTGCGTTACCGAGCCTCTTGGATAACCCCTTCGATCAGTTGCTGCAAAGTTTTGTCCTCACCCCGTAATACTCTTGCACTCCTTTCCTGCCATATTGATCTCAATCGTTTCCTGCACTTCTCATCGCCCGAGTTCTGTTCCTTGATGCCAGTATGCCACCATTCCATTTATAAATGAATGTGCATCACTTGCATTTCAATTCCCCCGTCTATGTTCTAGGACCAGCTTTCTTCTCACCCCTTCCCAAACGGATGCTGCGCCAACTGACAAAACTTGGCAGTTTAATTTGGCCATTGTCTTCTCTGCAGTCGAGACAGGTTCCTTTCCTTGGCGCTTTCAGTTGCAGTTAGTTCTCATCTGAACTGGGTCTTGGTTTCCTCGCACTCTGCTGCCTGAGAGCAAGGACTATAATTCTTTATGTGCTTCTTGAATGTGACGGACGCAGGATTTCGGTGATAGGGGTACAGACTTAGTAAAGCATTAATAATGCTGATCCCAGTTTTGAGATCCTCTGCTGTAATGCAGAGAGGAACTTTGTGAACAATAATTTAAAACATGTCACCCAACTAGACCCTTGTTGGTGAGGTTAAGTGCCCAACTGGGTAACACATACTACATGTTCTTCTTTTTTATTGGACCACTTTGTCGATCTGCTTATGAAAAGGCTGTACTTTTCTCCTAAAGGAGTCCATATATTATCCTCAAATTCGTGTGAAGTTGCTTCACGATTGAAGCTATCAGCAATTCTGTTCTTCCATATTGTTTTCAAGCTAGTTTCGGTACTCGTGAGCAATCTAGAGATAAATCGTGTTACTCAATAACCGTATGGCTTAGGTGGACAAAATCGTGCTCTCATTTATAAAAAAGCCAACAGGGTTTGCATTCATCTTCCGCTCTAACACAGTAGTATCTCACATTCTCGCTCCCTTCCTTTCTCCGATCCACTCCTGCATAGATTTCAATGGAGGTCACCGACCCTTGGCCGCACATTCCTCCGCCGCCGTCCCTCATCTCTCCCCACGGTGCTTCTTTTTCATCTTTTTCCACTTCCACCGTTCATGCTGCGGTGATCATCATCCTCTCCATCGCGGCGCTGGTTGGGGCAGTGTTGCTGTCCATCGGATTGTATCTTCTCTGCTCCAGGTGGATGAAGCCCAGGATGATCGCCGGAGAGCCGCCGCCGTTGTGCTCCCACGAGGTGGTCGTGCAGATGGCGCCGATTCGGGTGGGCTAGCGAGCCAGCGATGAGGGGGATGTCAGATTTGGGAAGTATTAACTGATCAGAGTTGAAGCACCATGGCAGGCAGCTGCATAGCTGACATGGAAAAAGGTGGGTGTAACAAACTACTACTTCCTCTGTTTCACAATGTAAGTCATTCTAACATATCCCATGTTCATATATTCACGGATATGTGAGTATAATTCTATCGTATATTACTAAGGTCAATTAGTATTGGGTATTTGGGTGTCATGGATGTTCGATTCCAGGTGGAGGTGGTGTATTCATGCAGTTTAAGTGTAGTAATACTCTCAGGAGACAGTAACGTAATAACTACTGCCTGGTTCTGTTTTACTCCTATCCTATGTTCTGTGATGTCTGTCTCTTCTGCTTCCAAATTTCCAATCGCATGTCGCATTAGATAAGACCTGGTTTAGTTCCCAACTTTCTCTTCAAACGGAGGAAGCCCACGTAGATACGTGGGCAATTTATTTATTTTTTATTAAAAAAATGTTAAAAGATGTTATCTTACCATATTTTGTTTAAAAACCATATATTATCTTATCTCTACCCGAAAATTAACCATAGACTTTGATACACTAAATTAAATTATAAGAACGTCTCTCATATTAAAATAAATCGTTGTGTCCTGGTTATATATAAACTCTCCTATCACAACTACTTATTATTTCTCTTGAAAGAGCTGGGTGCCTTTTTAATAGATAGAATTGCTTATTAAAAACAAATGTAATATATCATTAATACAATAAAAAAATCATCTCCATTTCATACCGAAGTGCACATATCTCACTTGTGTCTAAATGTATAAATATTTTTAAATACCACTTCTAACAATTAATAATTAATAAGAGAAAACCATTAAAATTAGATATAAATAGCCATCTAACGTGTTAAGTTGGCCATAGCTACTAAGGTTTTATTCTCTAATGCTTTGAAATATGTGTCCCGTATCGACGTAGCCATGCCCCTCAAGACAAACGTCGATCATAGTTTTAACACCTAGCTCACTGTCTACACACTTATAAAAAATTGTATTAGTAAGTAGGCCAGTTGAGTTCTACTATCAAGAGTGAAAGGAGTCATAGAGGACTCGATGGACTCATCGTATGTAGGTACAAACATAATAAAGTTATGAGAGAATCCACTCAGTACCACCGAGTTTTCTCCACTTCTACAATCTACCACTGACTTTGTCAAGTTGAATAATATGCTATCGTGTTTTCTTAAACCTCTACTATGTACCATCGTCGTCCACAAGCCGTTAGCTGGACATCTGTTAGAGCTGTAAAAAGACCTATTTGCCCCTAACTCACTGTACATGGTATTTTTTGTTTAGGGAGAAATGCTAGTATTCAGACACTAGCTGTGCAGAGCTTTCTCGAGCCCTCTCCTCTGCTACAGTGAAGTGAACCGGCACCGGTTGCGGCCCACGGCGGCGGCGACGCGGACGCGGCCAGCGATGGCAGCGCGGTTGCGGCCCGCGGCGGCGGTGATGCGGACGTGGCTTGCGACGGCGGCGCGGTTGCGGCCCGCGGTGGCAACGACATGGACGCGGCCTGTGACGACGGCGCGGTTGCGGCCCCTAGCGGCGGTGACGCGGACGCGGCCTGTTACGGCGGCGCGGTCGCGGCCCGTGGCGGCGACGACGCGGACGTGGCTTGCGACGGCGGCCCACGGTGGCGGCGACACGGACGCGGCCTGTGACGGCGGCGCGGTTGCGGCCCGTGGCGATGGCGTCGCGGACGCGACCTGCGACATCGAAGGCGGCGCGGATAGAAATTGTTTAGAAAAGATCCCAAATGCTTACTTAATAGAAGAAGTTTCTCCGAACCTAGAGCAAAGTATACCGACAGCTCTGGTACTCCTCCAGAATTCCTCCTAGAAAGCTACATTCATCAAGAAAGAAGTCGGAAAGAGCGCCAAACTTCCGGGCACCCCTTCAGAGCTTCTTCTCACTCTCTACCTATTTCTAATGTACAAAAGAACAATAGAGCGTATTGCAATTCAGCTCAAAGTTGTGTGTGGGTGAAGTGAGATGAGCTCCTCCTTTTATAGCCTTCATATGACAGCTATAGCTATGGGAATTATCCAAAATACCCTCCAGCCGTCATTGGGAAGACATCAGCAGCGTACACGTGGAAGGCCAGGATGAAAGGATCGAACCAGTGGTGGAACCCTGGGCCCCACCTCCTGGCCTCTCCTTTCGCCAGTAGACTGATTGGTGGGTCTTGATGGTAGTTATGACAGTTATGACCTATTCCATGGCGGTTTCACCCAACTTGTGGGCCCTTCAATCCCGATACTTGCGTCTGATTGGTCGGAGGTGTGTTTTCTTGCATGACGGGTGTGTTTTCTCCTTAAAATACCTACATACACATATTTCGCCAACACTAGTGGAATTAATTAGTAATAATCCGTATACCATATTTTATTTCATTATATGCAGGTATTGACAGTCAAATATTATAATTTGGGTATGCCGGTGCCTACCCGGCACCCTACCTAGGTCCGCCCCTGGCTGCCAGTTTAAAACTTCAAACAAAATTAATAAATCTTAATGGACCTCACGCCGGTTCAAACCTGTAACAAAAAATATTTTCTTAATATACGGTGTATGTGGACAAGCACTTGTTTAGATATATAGCAAAGTTTACTTATATTTTGGGACAGAGACAGTAAGATTCGTATACTTATTAGCAGATATGTAAACAAAGAAATGTTACATGACTTTATAGCAGGACAACGTTTAAGCCTTTGCTATAATTAATTTCACCATGAATAATGTGGATAATCATATCTTTCAGATGTATATGTAATCTGATTTTGCTTCTAGCTATGCAAGTTGCATGTGCATTAACTGCTACATATATAGTTGTATCTTTCAGATGTTATATTATGACATGTGCCATATCTGCATTAATTGACCTTAATATTAGTTGGACGCATTTTGAATTCATGGCGATTAATGCGAGATTGTGTGGCAGATTCATCCTTTCATTTAGAACATTTATTTCCATATCTTCATATATGGTTCCATATGAAATTTGATGATCACACACTCATGTATGCATGTTATTAGTATTGTTTTCTATATCTTCTGTTATTAAATACATTTAATTATGCCCTTGTACATATTCTCCGCAAAAGGTGAATCGTCCATTTCTTTAAGGATTTTTATTTGGGATTGGTGCCAGCCAAATTTCCTCTACGAAGAAAGCATCTATGGATGTCCTCTATATAAAGGATTGGCGGAAAGCTGACTGTGCTGTTCTCATATCCTTTCTCTATGGGTACCCAAAATGTTTAGACTTGTTCAAGTGTTGCAAGCAATTTCTATGTGTGCGTTCTTGCTTGTAGATGCAAGAGCTGTCCGATTGTATCCTTCTCTTCAAGAGGTACTGTATTTATGTGAATGTTATATCGTTTCTTACACGTATATTCTATATGTCTCCAGAACATATTATCTTGCATGCAGTGGCAATTGCTTTCATTTGATATGATATAATATTAATGCATCCATTCTGGTGATTTGATTATGTTTCACTATTTTCAAGAGTTGACACATTCTTCCGTTGGGTGTTAGAACATTAATTTTATATGAGAGGTGAAATTAACGCACAATTAGTTTAGAAATTAATTGTGTGTCTGATTAACTTGTACAGTAGTTGTGTTGGAATTTTAGAGATATATTATTTCTCCAGCTTTCAGTAGAAGAGTTGGTTTTGTACTTCTTGACATAATGACATTTACGGTGTAATAAGCATGTACGGTGTAAGATGACTGATTCATGATGTGATGGTCTTATATATACACGGTTAGTGGGATGAATCCACTAAGCATGTGTTTTTCATGAATGACGAATTGATGGACAAACCCAATCGGTTTGTCAAACAAACATGTCAAGCCATAGGTATACGTATTCACAGCAAATTTTTAGACATTAAAACACTCGTACATCTAACAATAAATGTTACTCCCTCAGTCTCAAAATTCCCAAAATATAGCTACTTGAGGAAGTACATTAATTGGTTGTATGGAAAGAACATGCATATATATGAATTGGTTGACTGGTTGTTTTATTATTTCCATTAAAAAATAAACAGTACATTTTAGTCGATACCTAATTTTTAGCCAGAAAGATAAAACTAGCATTAACTTTCCCCTGTTAACACCCAGCTAATTTCTTTTCTTTGCGCTTCATTCAGGAAAATAATTCATTAGGGCAATATCTGCTACATGCTGCACCCAATCAGAAGATGATGCTGTATAAGACATTCATGATGTCAAACTCCATTCTGACAAGAAAAGTTGTACACGACATTAATTCAGCGAAGGTGTCATATGTGAGTTAAAAATTATATTATTGGTGTCAATTTAATTATTGCAGGATCAATTTAATCTTGCAATTGTTACTGTTTTTTTCGCGGGGATTGCAATTGTTATTCAAAGTCGATCTTGTCAAAACAAAATAAAGTACGCTTTATATTTTTGGTCAGGGGGAAGCAATTGAATGTCTAGCGCATATTTATATTTCTAAACAGTAATAAATAGCTAGATTCCTGGTTTTTGGAGTTGCTGTTGGTTTCATTGATATGTTTAGCAGCGGTATAGTTTGTCTGACTGATTACTGTACTGTACGTGCAGTTTGCCACGCATCAATCTACTGGTCCTAATGAGAATTACTACGGGCTACGTGCGACGATGGATGTGTATGGTCATGAACTAAAACCCGGTCAGCTGAGTGGAGGTGCACTTTGGGTCAGTCATTTCGGTGACGATGGCAAACTATCAAGCTATAATGCAGTTGGCGCTGGTTGGCATGTAAGCAACTATAATATTTAACCTTTTTTATTTAAATGCTGTGTTCAACTGTAGTCAGCCGCTATGAATGAAATTTTAATGATATATATGACTGCTTAGACATGCATCTTCCTTTTTCCCATTTGTGTTTGTGTTTACAGATTGATCCTGAACGCTATGGCGACTCTCGTCCTCACTTTTATACTTCCTGGACGGTATGTGAAAACTGATGACAGGATTAATTGCAGCTAAGTACTAATATGTACTGTTCTGTTAAATTTTGTGTGTGTATATATATATATATATATTTTACTTTGCGTATATGAAACAGAGAGATGGCTATGCGACCACTGGGTGCTACAATATGGACTGCCCAGGTTTTGAACGAGCAAACGGTGCTGCGGTTGCACCAGGTGCTTCTATTGACCCAGTTTCAGATGACAAAAGCCTACAGAGTATTACAGTTGAAGTGCTGTTGGTAAGAGTTTCATCCTTTTAGCGTAACAAAATTTTATGGTCATTAGTAACGGCGGAAGAGGCCTTATTAGTCAACCTAACTTCTCCCTATGTCCAAAAAAAACTCAATTCTTAAGTTGTTGTGTCCAACGTTTGACCGTCCGTCTTATATAAAATTTTTTTATGATTAGTATTTTCATTATTGTTAGATGATAAAACATGAATAATACTTTATACATGACTTATCTTTTAAATTTTTTCATAATTTTTTTTAAATAAGACGGACGGTCTAACGTTAGATACGGAAACCCAAGAATTGAATTTTTTTGGGACGGAGGGAGTACGTCATAGCCCAAAGCCTATGACGAAAAGTTTATGGTTTCTGGAATAAAATATTTAATTCACTAGTGGTGTAGTAGTTCCATTCACTTGGATTCAAATTCCGGTGCCAACGAATATTATACACATACTAGTGGGCTTTCAACATGATTTTGGTAAGATCAGCGATGTGCCACTGGTTTCCATTTTCTGGAGCGTGTGTTAAGTAACCCATATGCGGGGTGTGATGTGGTGTTACATGTGTAGTAATATATGCGCGGTGTATCTGCCGTGTAATAAGAAAAATATTTAACTGAAACCCTCGCCAATTGCAGGACAGGGACAAGTGGAGATTGGTGGGTGTACTATGGCTTCAACGGTGTTCCCACGGGGGTGGGCTCTTACCCAAAATCTCTGTTCACTAATATGGCAGAGAAGGCGAATGCTATCGCGTTTGGTGGCTATGTGGTTACTCGACGAGCACTGCCTACTCCACCAATGGGAAGCGGGTCTCACCCACATACTAATAAGAGCCGTGCTGCATCACTGACTAATCTTGGTGTGATCAATCAGGATGGAAACACCAACCCTATCAACGCAGACTTGCCTACTTATATGGGCAATGAGTAATGCTACTCTATTACTCCTGTTGCGCAGGCTGAGTGCTTTTATGGCGGGCCTGGTGGATGCATGCCCTAACTTGTTTTCTTTTTCGAACTTTGATCTATCCAGAAAGTTATTTTGATCTATATGGATTGCAATAATTCGTGATGTTTTTAGCAATATAATCCTAGCCTTCTATTGGGACATCTTGCAAGCCTTCTTTGTGCTAGTGGACGGATTGGCTTGTCAGTAGTATGAAATGTAGTTTTACATACGGTCAAATCCAGTTTTCGCATGCGGCTTAGTGACCCGCACGTACCAAGGGGTTTGCAAAAATCACTATTTTTACATGCAGGTGCTTAAAGTTACATCATCCACATGCAAAAATAAAATCCGGAAAAAAAAAAACCAAAACTAACAAAACCCTAACACTAGAAGCCGCCTCTGCTCTCCTCCTTGTCATCGTTGTCCTCATCCTCGTCCTCATCTTTGTCGTTATCGTGGGGACGTAGGGGTGGCTGGGTCCGCCCCTCCCATCGCCGCTGCCAGTCATCATCATAGCTGTTGCCACGCAGTAGAAGGAACCGGATCCGATGTTACTGCGCCTACCCACCTCCGCTGTGTGGGGTGAGGGCCGCCGCCATCCGATCCGCACAGGCGACAACCACCATCGCCGTCGCTTCCCTCCTCCACCCTCCCGCGCTGCCCAAGCCCTCCACCGTTGTCGGGAGAGAGGAGAGAGGAGAGGAGAAGTGGAGGAGAAGAGGAGGAAGCCGTCACCTTTGCCCGCCGTCGCTGCTGCTGTTGCGCGTCTCCTCCGCCCTCCCCAGCTGGACGCACCCTCTACCGCCTTCAGGAGGGAGGAGAGGGGAGAGGATCGAGGAGTGGGGGAGAAGAGGAGGAAGCCTTTGCCATCGTTCTTGCCCACTGTTGCCGCTGGGAGGAAGGAAATGGGAGAGGAGTGGAGGAGAAGAGGAGGAAGCCGCAGCCCTTGCCCGCCATCGCTGCTGCCATCATGCGTCTCCTCCGCCCTCCCTAGCTACCTAAACCCTCTATAGCCGTCAGGAAAGAAGGAGAAGAGAGAGGAGGAGTGGGGGAGAAGAGAAGGAAGCCGTCGCCGTCGTCCTTGCCCACCGTTGCTGCTAGGAGGGAGGAGAGGGGAGAGGAGTTTGAGAGGAGTGGGGGAGAGAAGAGAGAGAGAACCAGGAGAGGAGAGTAGATGGTGGAGAGTGGATAGAGAGGGGAGAATAAAAAAAAGTATGGGAAGACAAGGGGGATTTTTGTATGCGGGTGAGTTAAAGAGCCTCTTGGTCAAAAATACCGTTATTTTCACGTGCCAATATTTTAAGTGGCCCGCATGGAAAAAAATGATTTTTGCATGTGGTCTCTTAAGAAGCCATATGAGAAAATGAGTTGCAGACGCGAACAGTATATCTTTTCTAATTTGAGTCTGTTGTACGCATGAGCCCGCAACATGCATGGGTGCATGCCATAATAGGAGGTTTAGTTTTCATCGGGTTCTTCTCGCTCTGCGATATGACGTTATGCGATGGCTTGACTACTGCTGGTCATGCAGTCAGTGGAGTCCGATCTTTTCTTGAGGCCATTTCACAGTATGCGTCCGTGTCGTTTGGCCCGAGTGCCCAACACGGAATATTCGCCTCCACATCGATCACTCGTGGAGCCAAACGAAACACGAGGAGCCAAAATTGGACACACTAGACTTCGCCTCTATCGAGGGCGTGCGGCGTGGAGAGAATGATGGGTACTGCATTTGTCATAGGCTCTCCGGACCTTCTATTATAATTGGGAGATGAAGTGAATAATTCAAGTCACCAAACAAGCATAATGAAATATCCAACGCCTTGAGAGAGGAATATTGGAGATATTGTTGGGGCTTTAGCCTGCCAGTTAACTTCAACCTAAGATGTGCCCGTCAAACCACTCGAAGGCGGCGACAAGATGTGTTACACATTTAGGAGACTTGACAAAAATGGCTAAAGATCTACAACATCTTAAATATTCCTAACTCATACTCATGCGAATCTATTTCCCAGGATGTGCACTAGATTCACACTTTCATCTCAAGCATGATTATACATAGCAAACACAAATAAGATAAAAGAAATTATAAACTACATCTACTTTAGTTACACTGGCCGACCGGCCAAATAAATATTAGAACAACGGAAGCTTGTCTATCCAATCCACAAGCACACTGACTAGGGGTTTACCCCCATTAAGTTCAAGTCCTAGAAGAAGCACACGATTACCCGCATCACTCAAAGACTAAATCTAAAACCTGCAAGCAAAAGGTTAATTCAACAGCAAGAGTCAGCACATTATTAGAAATAATGTAGTGGCAAGCACCATGGCAAATCTAACACCCTACTTACAAGGCATATAATCAAGGAAGGCATAATATGGTTCTTTTTAGCATAAAGCAAGTTTTATTTGGATAAAACACTTTCAAATCAGATTTGCTTTCAAATAAATTTCAGCAAGCTAGTACTTTAGCATATGGGCATCAAAGTAGGCATTAATCATGTGTAAATATGCACCTCATTGCCATCCATGGCAGTAAGGAGATCATTCTCAAATCTCATCACAATTTGAAGGTAAATTTCAGCATTTAGAAGAGTAATCACAAGTCTATACTCAATACATATCCACACGCCGCTCATGATAGCGAGCACGGCTAATCGATTAGTTTTTACTCTGCAGAGTTTGTACACTTTACCTACATGATGCGAAATAATAATCATGCAAGAGCATGGCACGCAATATATAAGTACCCGATTTATTACCCGCAACAAAGCTTTTCCAAAATTCATAATTTAGCCTTACATCAGCACAATACGTATTCCTCTATCCTAGTCATACTAGAAATATGACCTAGAACCGTTAAGTGGCTGGCCCACGCCTTAAACTTAACGCCGTGGTGGCGGACACAACGGGAACCCACCATGTGGCATAATACCGTTGTATTGGACACGCTTAGTCACCTAAACTACCACTTCAGGGTAAATAGGAAGCTCCTCTGAATTATACGAACTCATACACACCGGCCTACCGGAATGTAAGGCTAAACCATAAATAATTTACTAAGCTTGGCTATCCCATACTAGCACATGTAGTTGTATTCTATACGAAATGAACTGACATTGAGTGAAGTCCTTAGGTCGGTTTGGGCACACTCTCCCCCTGTCGGTACACAACTAATCACCATATGTGCACCAGTTGAGGCCCAAACCTAAAATCCATGTTTTCCACCATTTTATTTATCAAAATCACAAGTATTAAAGTTCTGTCCAGATTATTTAAAAATCAATTTTCGTGTTTATAATGAGCCCATAATGACAAGGAAGACCATTCTAAGCATGGCTAAGCATTATAGTAACCTACTGTCACCAAAACTCATATATAAAGTGGTATAGTCATATTGTTCCTAAGGTTAGGACTGAGGGATATGGATATATGTGGAGTTAAGGTGATAATGCAAGTAGTAGGAGTTTGTCTAACAAGTTTAACAAAATTTTAGTTTATTAGTGTACAATCGACATGCAAGATTTGCAAACATTTTCAATAACCTCCAAAACATAGGTTCAAAGTGATCAAAGAGAGGGAGGTGGGACTTGCCTTGAAACTGGAAAATGTCAGCACCTAATTCACTTCTTCACCGATTAAGCAATTATCAGAGGGGGTGGATTCGGCAACGGCGACGGTGACCGGAGGTGGAGAAGATGGTGGACGATCTCCACACTTGTAGCACCATCCTTCGAGGTTCTTTAGGGGAAATGGAGAGGAGGTTGAGGCGAAGACGCTGGTGCGACAGCTTGGCCCGGCTTGGTCCAGATAAGCGGGAACGACGATGATGTCGCTGCGGCGGTGCACAGAGCGCGCTCTAGAGCGACCATGACATGGCGGCTTTCCCACTGCTGTAGAAGATGAAATGGAATGGTATCAAAACCAAAGTTGTTCGGCATGGTGAGATGAGAATGGAACGAGTATGAGTTAGAGATGGAGAGGGCTCGACGACGGTTGGCGATGTCCCTCTTCTTGGCGGCCGGCGACGAAAGAGAGGTGGAGAGGGAGAGCTGGAGCTTCCTCCCTTGGTTGGATCGGCACTGGAATGGTGGGTGAAGAGTGGTGACGCGTATGGAAGAGGAGTAGAGAAGGAGCTCGGCGTTTTGAGGCGTCGACACGTCGTGCACACGCGTCGAACCCAGCCGGCGCCAATCTCTTTCTCTTTCGGCTGTCTCTGGTCAGTTGGAGGAGATGGACAAGGAGTGGACAAGCCCAAGTGGCTGCCAAGTGGGCCCAGATCGATGTAAACTAGGTGGGAGTGTGAGGGATGGGTAGAAGATTGGGTGTTGATTGATTTTTGGATGATTTTCAGATTAATTCTCTCCCTCCAACTTTACATCTCAATATTTTAATGTGTGAAGCATATAAATTAGTGTGGGTTTTTCTAAAGGTAGATGAATGTACCTAGTTTCCATTTTCTTTGGTTGCACTTAAAAATTATAGATAGATTGCTCACAGAAAATAGAGGAATATGGGCTCGATAGAACTTTGTTTGAAGTTTAAGAAGACCTAAACAGAGAGGATAAATTCTGGAAAAATTATATTTATTCATGATAATTAACCTAGTATATGAATAAATTATTTCCCCTATACACTTCCATGCAGTTAAATGCACATTTTAGTTATGTATGGTTTTAGCTGATTAAGAACTATATTTAGTCTATTATTTGACTAGTTTGACTTGTTTATTTAAGGTATCAAATTTAATTATTAAATTGTACCAAAATTACAGTGAGTTGAGTTGTATATGTTAAGTAGAGCCTACATAAATTTTCCCATGATTTTATCTTGCACGAATTATTTTAGATAATTAGCAAGACTTATCTCTTATATGTGTTTCCCTTTTCCTAAATGCATGTAAATGTTTATAAAAGTTTTATTTGGACTGTTCTTAACCTGAGGTGATGTTGATATCTTAGAATTACAGTTTAACTTACATAGGTCATAAGCTTCTTACCTATTTATGCATAAGTTTACTTTAGTATTAAATTAAGAGGATGCTTACCGAGATGATTAAGATAGAATATACCCTATATGAGTTAATTTATTTGTTCACTTT